ACGGACGTTCTCTTAATCTAATCCCCGAAACCAACACACAAGTTCCGACCCAGTTCCTGACTATCTTAGCTCTGTTTTAAGGGAACCCCGCTAACAGAGTCATGGATGTCGGACCATTTGCGATTTCTTCCTCTTTCTTTCTAAAGATTGAGTATGCATATATACGTGCAGTGAATGACAACCTTCCAAACGACGATTGTGAGAAAGCCCGCATGCGGCGGCAGCGATTAGAACGACTGGTAGCCGCCCCGGCGCAAGGTGCGTGGGGGGGCCCCTTCGTCGACCTGTGCCTGTTCCCAAAAATACGCCCCCGAGAAGGCCGAAAGCAATCCATAACTCAATAAAAACGCCGCTGTTCCACTCGTACACGCTCTTCGTCTATTTCCACGAGTGAGGAATCGATGCATCCGGCCCGGGGAAACTCTACCAGCGTACATGATCCGCGGACGAGCGAAGGGGGCCCGCAGCGAAAAGCGTTTTTATGCGCATGCATAAAAACGGCGGGAGCACTCTGTAACAGAGAGCCACGTAAATGATGAATGCCGTTCCTTTATCTCTGACCGTGTCACGTGGCGTACACGGTCGCGTGGAAAAATAATCACGGTCAGGCCGGTAATGCTCCCGGGAGGCAAGGTCGAGCGCACTGCACTGCGGCGACGAGCGCTTGGTTTGGCTCGCGCGCGAAAGCGCTGAACGCCAGTTGGGAAACACGCACTGCACGGGGAACACATAAATTAAACTCAACTACGGATGTATCGTGGCTGTAGATGAAGCTAATTACACGAACGCGAATTTTTTTTTCCCCCATACTGCATTAGACAATACAGCCGTCCAACTGCTTCCGGATTATATCTTCGTGCAGACATGTTCTTATAAACGAATGTAAGAAGAAATGAAGCTTCCCAGATAAGTAGAGGACGGGTACCGCACATTTCATTGAACGCCATTTCATCGAATAAGTGGACATTTCATCGAACGCCGTTTCATCGAACGCCGATTCATCGAACACCGATTCATCGAACGCCGTTTCATCGAATTTCCCTTTACTAAATTTTGGAATAATACCATACTTTTTACATAATTTACTATCGCTTTTGAAACAGTTTTGACGCTCTAAATTCACCAGAAATAAAATTACTACCCCGGTCAATTCTTCGTCCACCTAAACTTTGGTTACTGAATGATAGAAGGTAGTTATCATACCAAAACTTGAGTCGATACGCGACTTATTCTTTTCTGGCGAGGTAGGCGGCTGTTCTCGGCCACACACTTTTTGCGACTTCATCCCTCTATTCATTTACGCGTGAAAGGCAACGCCTTTTTTATTTTGTATTTGTCGATTTACCTGTGTTTTCATTTGATCATAGGAGAATAACTTTCTGTTTAAGAACATATATGTTCTTAAGACGCGTATCCCCTCTTCGTTAATATTTTCTAGCTGACCGAACCGTGAACCTGTCGGATCTTCGACATGCAGTATATATACTGTATATCGAAAATCCGGCCGGTCTATGGTTCTATCGATTACAATAAATGAACAAAGAGTGGAGACACGTCTTTTCTTTTCCGTATCATATGGGACACGGAGACAGATCATTGCTTTAAGGACGGCTTCGTCCTGAAGCAGAATAGGTATCTTCAAGGACTTCGATGAAATGGCGTTCGATGAAACGGCGTTCGATGAAATGTCCGGACCCAGTGGATGACGTGGAGTCCGAAAACAGTGATTTGTAGTTGCACGCTGCCTCATTTCGTGCGCCGGAATTATTTTCATATAAATAATGAACAGTATACCGAAAATGATAGTGAAATACTATTGGGGCAGAGTTGTGCGAACTGTGCACACAATGTCCCCCAAACAAAAATTTATATTTTTTATCTTTTATTGCCAAAATAATTTACGCGCTGCTGAACGCAAGCCCAGATGCAGCGCCCAAATGCATCGCTAGCGGTCCCACCAAGATTCCAAAGTTTCAGAACTAACCGTTATCTTATTCAAAAGTTGTAACTGATTTCCTGAAATGTTCAAGGGGAGCTCTCGAATACATCGAGCTGAAGGGCACCAGCTACCGAAAACGGACGAAAACCGTCGGGCCCCAGTTTCCCCTTGAAATTTTCAGAAAATAACTCATAGCGTTTTTAATATGATAACAGTTAGTTTTACACTTGGGCCAAGGCTGAGCGTTCGGAGATGCGTAATTTCTTTTTCGGCCATTTTGTTTTTGTTTGTTTGGGGGGGGGGGGGGTGGACACATTGCACATCAGCGTGATAAGTGAGCACCTTCGTATCACCTGTGCAGCTTTAATAATAACAGCGGAATATTTACTTCCCCGTCTCCTTCGGAAAACTTGATTCACAGTTACAATGTACACTGTCACGCAGAAGCAAGAACCTCAGGCTAGAGTTTTTGGTACTGCTTCGGAAATGGATATACTTGCATACAAACTATGCGGAGAGCAAGTCGTCTGCTTCTTGTGCAAGAGTTGCGGTGACGTCAAAACGACGCCGAGCTCTGATTGGCTTTGATTGAAAGGATAGTGGGTAGACCTCAATGCTAGATGCCTTGAGGTCTACCCCGTATTTTTTTTTTTTTTTCAATGAGTCAATAACAGCCTGGCGTTCTAACATTTTGCAACCCCTGTGCAAGAAGCAGACGAACTTGCTTGCGCTCCGCATAGAAATGAAGCTATCACTATAAACACGAACTTAGTTGTATCACTATGAAAATGAACATCGGACGTATTACGGTTATGTTCGATGTTCACTTCATGTGTCTGGAAAAAAAAAAAGAGACCATAAATTTAAAGTAGCAACTGTTAACTGTTGTTGGGAACCTTTATTATTTTGTTTGTATTTTAACAGCGTTTGAATGGAATAAGATCGATCAAAGTGTATTCCCACCTGTATGTTCACATGGCAAGTTTTTCTGGTTTTTTTTTCTTGCAATAACGCATCGAAGGCGCTAGGTAACCGTCAATAAATCAATAAATCAATCTAGCGTTGTGGAACGATCGAGACGTCGTAGGTCCAGAATCTCGAGATAGGTTTATGGCATATGAATAAAAAGTCTGCATTCGTTACTGGCGATCAAGACGAACCATTGCAAAACGCAACGTGGCAAGAACGCACACACAAAAAGAGATTCCGACAGACTTTTGGATGGCAATAAGACTTTAAGTAACCGCTGTGAAATGGAGACTAACAAAATTAACAAATAATGCCCAATTGCAAAAAAAAAAAATAATAAATAAAAAAAAACGACTGAAGCATTTTAATGCTTTGTGTCAGTACTACCTGCTATTGCTATACTTCGAACAGTCGCTGGAGGAAGATATTTCATTGCCAGAAAGGGAAAAGGGGATGAAGAGAAAGTCGGCGTCGCCCACCGACACGCACCGCTGGGAGCGCAGATCCATCGCAAAAAAAAAACAAAAACAAGACCGGCGTCACGCTTCCTGGTGGTTCTTATTTGTTAAACGGGGAAACTTTCTGGCTCGGCAAATACCGACGCGGTGGAACTGTTTTGGTTGTTGGACGTAAGACGGCGGGGGGAAGGGGACACCCCCAGTCGCCCCATAATACTTCATTCAGGGCTCTCTGGAGTGAGTGCTATATTTAGAAACCAGAAGCCGTGTATTTTCTTCCGAGATGCACGACCTTGAAGTAGGCGAGCGTCGAGTGCGGAACAAGTTCTTTCGCACACGAAGACCGCGGAAGCAAAGTGTTAATCCCCTAGGCGAGTCGCTGTCCCTGACACTGACACAAATAAACGGTTGCCGCGTTAATAAATCTTCGCAAACGACGGACCTATAATTTCTGGGTCTCGATAAGTATACAAGAAAATTAATCTGACCGATGCACGACTCAGATTCGTAAACTAGCAATAACATGTTATGTCGAAAGTTCAGTTGAATTCACGAGTATTCTGAGGCAATAATAACTACCATTTTATTCAGGTTTCGATACACGCTAACACGGATTACACAGAAAAGGCCTAGAACTGACTCCGCGAGCTTGTTCTTTGTCTGTATTACTTCCTGTCAGTAGACGACATGTGCACTCGCATTCACTCACATCAAGCATATGCCCGAGGGAGCGGATGTCTCTTTTGGGCACATGCCCAATGTCTCTGCTGCCGCACCCCTCGTGAAAGTGAGGTTTTGTAAAGACGCGGAACTTCAAGCAAGATCGGAGTTCACCCGATTAATGGATGACTGAAAGTCCAACAGGGCCGGCCTAGTTTCGCCATGCGAACAAACACACACTGCTCACAACTGCTTGAGTTGCCAAGAAGCTGCATGCTTTCGTACGCCCGCGAGCAGGCTGTGTTGTTTGTCTAGTATGACTCGTCTAACAGCAAACACACCACCACGTAGTGTACACACGAAATAGTTATTTGGACCGGTGTATGCGCGCTTCGATTCGCCCAACAACTCATCCGCACACTGATTTCACGCGTTCCGCATCGCAAGTGCACACTACACCCAGCTTCCGAAAACATGTTACAGCTGACTGGCAGCAGTCGTGTCGCAGAAGGTTGCAAATAAGACAGGCCCATTAGCGTGCACTCACTGGTAACCCGAGCAAAGCTAACGGAATGAGACTGATATTGCACATGTGGAGACACTCGCTATTTCATGTTCGGTTTCATGGCCGGCACAGGCTGGAAGCAAACATACAAAACCACAAAAACACAGAGCGGAAAAGGAAACCGAAGACGTTTAATCGGTGCAAAACTGAACCCAGCATCTTGGAGCCACCACGTAGTACGAGAGCCTCTGGTAGTACGTGGTTTAACCTCGAAGACTCCGGGGTTTACAACACTTGCACACAATCTTTTACGTGACTCCGTGTGTTCAGACTACAGGGCCTGTAACTGGTATGAGCACCGTTGTTTGTGACAGTCCCACTCTGCTATACAGCCCCATCTTTACTCCTCTTGGGGACATTTCGTTGCCTGTCGTCGGGGCGGCTCGCGGGAGGGCCGCAGGAAACTCACCCAGCCTGGACTGCGGCCGACCACGAGAGAAGCGGCAGCGGCAGCAGCAACAGCGGCGGCGGCAGCGGCAGCAGCGTGCCGGCCCTAGGTCTCCCCTCGGGAGGGTCCCTCGCCATGGACGCGCTGCGGGCCGAGTGATCCAGGCGGACGGTCACACTGTTGCCGCAGACAGCGTCTCCAGGGCAACAGGCCGACCAACACGGCGTGGTCCGCGTGCGTGCTCCGCCCTATCCAGTTCGATATCGTTCGTCGTACGCCGACTGACCTGACGTGCCCGCTGTCGTTTCCGGCTTTCACCGCGACTCGTGAGCAATCGTGAGCGCGGGGCCCGATCAGCGCCTCCTGGTTAGACTCTAGCTGGACGCGCGTGCTCGCGTCCATACAGATGTCCCCGGCTCACGAGCGTCTGTGCGGCGGAGGCACATTCGGGTTTCAAAGCGAACAACACTCTCTGAACGAATTATGAAAGTATGGACTCGGTACGATGTTTCATGACGTAATTGACCATGTCCCCATGAAGTCAGATAGGCTAAGTACAACGCGTGCTTCGCGGAAAGGTACCGCAGAAAACGCGTGACCGACGCATTAAATTTTAAGAGACATTAAATTGATACCTGTTTGGTTCACGTTAAAGTATTCGCCGACTTCCTGGAAAGCGTTGGGAGAGTCTATTAAATCCGCCTTCTTTGCATCCCAAATAGGGTTGCTGGCGTCCTTGTCAGATAAAATTGTGTTTTATAACCCGTTTCCAGGGAATGAGCCGGGGTTTAAAAGACCCTACTGTATACGTAGCAAATGTACAACAGGCACAGAATACTCATTGACCCGAAGGCAAACAGCCAGAATTTCATTTATATACGCTACAGCCGCCCACAGCTTCGATAGTTTTGTTTTTACTCTTTTTTTAGGTATAGGTAAATTGACTTTTATATATGTATATTAGGGTTGTAACGGCATCATCTTCGTTTAACTGTGCAGACTCAACACCAACAACCACTGGCGAGACCTTCGTTGCCGCGAGTCGCCATGTTGTCAAAGTCAACCGCTAACTTTGGACCCTTAAATGTACATAAGCATCTATAGGAACCATTTTTCTAGCATCAACGGGGTTAGCTTCCTGTTGGAGAATATTCCCTTTTATTGACGTCGTGTACTGTTTTATATTGTCTACGGTAAGGGGGATGATGGGTTAGTAAAGCAACGCAACGCACTGCTTTTTTTTTTTTTTTCAGCGATAGCTGTAGTGGGACACTTCGCGGTTTCCAACCGTCGACCGCGCTCCATATCGACGCGGGCCATTTCGGCACTCCGCCAAAACATTCCACGGGCCGTCATTAACAAGATAACAATCAAGCAAGATAACATGCATGGTCAGTGAAACAGTCCTCGCCGGGCAATCTGGCAGTGCACTGGGATATGTGCCCATGAGACCCAGAATTAGCCCAAACAACAATTCTCGGCAGATTTGCGGATAAAACTGCCTTGGAATTTTACGATGCATTCTGTATAAGAAAGCAAGGGGAAAACAAGTGCGTTAGTGACCCCGTCAATGCACCTGACAGATACATAGTTTTCTTTTCCAAACGAATAGCAAGAAAGATGGTATTAATATTGTGTGTCTGTTTCAATAAACCTTCATTTGAGAGTGCACTTCGTCTTGTCTACTTTCTCGTCCGTTTATTCGGCGCTTTTCGTTTAGCACGCGTGACTATTTGTACCGAAGAGATGTACGAAAACACGCTCCCATCTCACGCAGACAGCTGAAACGCTCTCTACATAATACACCCGCATTGGTTCCAAAACGCTAGGAATTTTCATCAGGTTTGTGGCTCGGTTTAATACGCAACGCCTATACGGGCTCTATGGTGCGCGCTCGCACCTTTACCGTTCATTCAGTCCATCTGCTCCGAAATGACACCTTAGCGTCTCAGCGTTCTTATCGGCTAATGCTGCAATCTCATTGGCTGTTCAGCGATAATTAGATGCCTGGGACCTGCCACGCTCGGGGACTGTAGCTGGCAACTTGACGTCACAAAAAGGTGCATACATTTCAACTGCTACCCAGTTCTACTTCTGCTATTAGCCCGTATCATTTGAATGCATGCTAAAGAAATCAATTAATAAAACAAATCGCGTCTTGAAACCATATACTGTTTCAGCATCGCTAAAGCTATAGGAATCCCAGCAATTGTGCTTCCCAACTCTTATAAAATGTATGTAATTTTGCGATACCTTTAAAACTTTTACCAGCTATATACCGATTACTCAATCGACTAAAAGTAACCGATCGGTTAAAATTGCTAATCGGTACACAATTTAGTTTTTGTAATAAAACGCATAATTATTTTAATACAATTATCATTATTCTACAATCCAATCCACTTACAACAATAATAAGACACCCCGAAAATTCAATCCTTATAAGTTATAACCGATTATCGTTGTACCTGGGCTTAAAACGGATTGTTTCTAGCCTAGAAACTCTAGAAACTGATCGTTATAAGTAGTACATCGTTATATAAGGTATCGCTATAAGTGGAGTGCACTGTACACTCTAAGAAATGCCTGCGCGTCTATTTACCCGCCAAACAGTCAAAGCCAATCTCTGCGATCTAAGAAATCAGCTCAGAGAATGATGAGGCGAAACATCCGTTTAGACTTCAAAATTAAGTCTGCACTGCGGCATTACGCAATGCAAGCATGCGATCTACGAAATCAGCTCAGCGAGTGATGAGGCGGAACATCCGTTTAGACCTCAAAATGAAGTCTGCGCCCGCTGTAGCATTACGCAATGCAAAGCATCATGTTTGCATTGCGTAACGCCACAGCGCAGACTTCATTTTGAGGTCTAAACGGATGTTCCGCCTCATCACTCGCTGAGCTGATTTCCTAGATTACAATGATTGGCTCTTTGAGTGTTTTGCGGGTAAGTAGACGCGCAGGCATTTCTTAGAGTGTAGGGTGATGACATCTGGCCATTTTGCTCCAAACGTTTTTTTTTTTTTTTTTGTTCTGAATCGCGCACGCGCTCGTGGCGCTGGCTGTGATACAGCGACATTTTGTTTTTGGGCGATTTCTTTGTATCTTCCCTGTGAGTGCAAGCTGTCCGCATTGTGTACTACGAAGGATGTCGTCACCCCAAACAGAAGGACATTGAGGAACCCTAGTTCTATAGGGGTCCTCGTGATGACAAAGAAGTTGAACGAGTTGTGCTCTCACACCTGTGCCCTTGGCAGCGGTGCGCACTCTAATAGGGAGTATTCACTGGACGCCATATTTGTGGGTGCTGTTTAGAGCGCATGCTCAGAACGAGCTCACATCAATAGGCTGCTAAGACCGGGCGGCGGAGAAAAGCTCACCGGAGAAAAGCTCACTGGAGAAAAGCTCACCAGAGATAAGCTCACCGGAGAAAAGCTCACCGCAAAACCGGCAGATGCGGAGAAAAGCTCACCGGCCTTTGAGCGGATGTACAGAAAAGCTCATCGATATTTTTTTTTTGGCTTAGCTTGATTCTGCGTCAAACGTGCCAATTTAACACAATTCGCATTCGTCACTTCAATAAAAAAATGACATTTTTTTTTGTAATATTCTTGAAGTTCATTGGGCATATTTACCAATTCCTCAGAAATTAGTAATCACCCATTCTATGAATTAATGAAGCCGCAAGCATGAAATCAAAACATCGTACACCGATAAAAAAGGCAACAATTTATTGACAGCTGACAGCGCGCCGTCGCTAGCTCTTTCAGATAAAGAGGTTTGTTCTTTGCGAGCTATAATAAATAGCGGTGTGTCAACCGGCTCAGCTCCAAATATTGTGTAGTGCCTAATAGATAAGAAGGTGTTTGCTGATGTAATCAGTGCCGGCTACGCTGTTTTCTTCCTGTTAATTTCACTAACAAAACTTTAGTTGCGAGAACAGCTTCGCTTGTAGTGTTTGTTTTCTTCACACCGTCGTCATCGTTTGAGCGATTTTCATCATGTATTACGTTTGCAAGTTCGCCCTATTTGCTGCATAACAGAAGACTACTTCTTCTATAGGTTACGATTAACAACGGTGCCATTGCGCAGCTCCGAAGGTCATGGGTGGCTCACCGTAGAAAGGCACTCAGTATCACACAAAGGGAACGTGTGAAAACACCAGCACGAACGGCTAGAAAGCGTGCATGTCCGTGGAAGAAGCCTCGATATCCTATTGACTGTTTTATCCTGTTTTCAAAGGTTAACAAAAGCTTCAAAGAAAATTTCAGGCTCCGCGTTGTTGCGCATGCACTTTTGAATTTTCGGCAGTTACAGCTTTGATTTTTTAGGTTTTAGGCAGACATCATTAAATTTTTTAGCTTTTTCCTGTTCTTTAAGTTCATAAAGTTTTTAGTTAGGCTTTCCTTGCCTCGAGAGTAAGCCACAGAAAACACTCGCCCGCAATTATTCATTTGGGAGCAATATACCCAATAACCTTAACAAATATTACAAAAAGGAAATTTTTTTACAAAGCTGACGAATTTTAATGATTATAAATTGATATATGTTACGCATTATCCAACAGCCTTCATATAAAAAGAAGAGAAAATATCGGTAAGCTTTTCTCCTCATACGCTCAATGGCCGGTGAGCTTTTCTCCGCATCCGCCGGCTTTGCGGTGAGCTTTTCTCCGGTGAGCTTATCTCCGGTGAGCTTTTCTCCGGTGAGCTTTTCTCCGGTGAGCTTTTCTCCGGGATTCGCTAAGACCGGCGCTCTTGATGGTGCGGAATGCACGTTGCAAAAGAACTGTGGAAGCTCCCCATTAGCACGCGCTCAGCATTCGCGCACACATCTATGGCCGCCAGTGAATTCTCCCTATAGTCAAACGCTAGTGTGTGAATGGGTCATCCCGCACCATCGAATTTGTTCGTCTCGACCATGCCGAGAGGAACAGATTCGATGGTGTCAAATGTATGCTGCAGAAGGTACGGGCACAGGAGCATGGTACGAATCAGACTTGTACGTAATCCGTTACAAGTAACGAAATTACTGGTAATCCCTTACATTTATCAGTAATTTAT